TATATATATATATTACAGTATCTATATAAATTTGATGAATTTTGAAACTGTTAATTTTTAAATTAATATTTATTTATTTATTATGTTATAATTTTGTATTTGGATCAAGTAATTGATTAACTTTTTATTAGATCAAACTAATATTATAAACTTTTTTTTCTTCTAATTTCATAAGTCTTAAAATTGTATTTTTATATTTTTATTGGATAATTAATATAGTATAAGGAAGTGGTTGAAATGTGAAGAGAAAGATAATGTGAATTTGAATCAATAAATAATAGAGAAATATGAGTAAAATTGATGGAAGAATTACCTTGTACATGGACCTGCCATTCCCGAAAATGAAATCAATGGAGCCCTCGATGTAGCATTCTTTGAAATAATGTCGGCCAGCGTCGTCGCAAAGAGTGTCTTGTGCGCCGTAGAACCCGCAGCCGGAGAAATATGCTTTGTCCCCGGAAATGCGAAACGCCGCCGCTTGCCACCCCTCCATTCCCGGCATCGGCGCCGGCGCTGTGTTCTGCACCATTCCCCATTAATTATTAATCCAAACTTTTCGCACATGCTTAATGCTTTTCTCTTCCGTCATTTGCAAATACAAAAACGGCTTTTAATTTCTACAATTATTCCCGTGATTTTTGTGAAATATTTTTTATACACACATTTACGTGAGAAATAAAAATAAATACACATCATATGAGATACTACTAGCTAGTAGAATGCTTGTACATATACGTAAAAAGAATCTTTACACATGCAAGAGAATTAAAGTGGTGTGACTGCTAAGAAATATATATATTGATAGTGACAAATGAGAATACATAAATAGAATGCCGGGGTTATAGGGTTACCACTTAACATTTAATTGCTTGGTAACTAGAAAAAGGAAAACCTAATCCTATTAAGAAATTGTTAATTTATAAAAGTGATTTGAAAAAGACATGCATGTTTTTACCTTGAAGCTGATATTTGTGGCAGAGAAGTAGTTGGCAAAAACAGTGACAGATGCTGTTCTATAAGTACGAAGTTGTTGGCCGTTGGGGCCAGGGTCACTGGCTCGATCATGCCATTCTATCACCGTCACATCTCTTCCCGCGCCTTCAAATCTAATGTACGGCTTCGTCACGGGCACCACCACCTTCTCTCTGCACCCAACAATTACCATTATATATGATTTCAACCAGTTGCACTCCACTCATTTATATCTCCACCTTTAAGTCCAATTCAAGAATAAAGCAAACAAAAAAAAACAAGTTAAATTGAAGAACCATGATACATGTAATAGCCGGCGTTGATTTGAATAAGGACATTCATTCTGTTGTTCTCCGTGACAGCATTGACGGCGGCTTGGACCGACCGGAAATGGGCACCGCCGTTAATGTCAACGGTGATTAAACGGTGCCCGATGGGTCCGACCCACTTGGAGGAGTTTCTGCATGTCACGGTTGTTACATGCAATAGCAATATGAAAGTGGAAACCAAAAGCATTTGCATTTGCAGCGAGACAAAGAGAGGAGCCATGAGATAAGATAACACTAGTCACTAGGTAGAATGGAAATGGTTAGGTGTAGCAGAAGAAAAACCTGCAGGTGGAAGTACAGAAACAGATCAACTGGGGAGGGGATTTGTACATTTATAGCCTCGGCCTATGGCTCATTAGTATTACGATCACTGTAGTGTACTCTTACTTTTTATATTTATAATGTTCTATTTTATCAACTTAGGACAACATATATCCTCGTCTAACGGTCACTTTTTCTTGGGTCTAATTAGTTTCGCAATATATTCTTTTACACATTTTCCTGTTTAGAATAATAAACAAGGACAAATTATATTTTAGAATCTGTGTCTTTATTTTATGGATAATTATTAATGTCTACTCCAAGTTACGGTGGATTTGACTATAAAGAAGAAGAAAAAATGACAGATACGTGATGAAGAGAAATTATAATATTCTAAAAAGAATTTAAAGGGTGTTAATACTGTTATTTCGAAATTCTTTCTCTCACTTTTTTTTGGTGCGCTCAAACTCATATATAGTATTGGCAAAAATCAAGTATCAGAAACGTTTATAAGTATATATATACACTTTTCTAAAGAACAACAAATTAATACATATACAATGTTCTTGAGGAATTTATGCAAGGTTTCGTTCTTAATTAGAAAAAAAAAACATAAATATAAATTAAGGTTAAATTTGGTCTGGTGGAGTGAAGTTTAGAGTTTCTCGATCAGCTCATATACATACATTTGTTGTTCTTATTGTTAACATTAAATTGCAAATTAAGTTTATGAGGTTCTCAGCTCATATAGTATAATGACTGCTTTTAATTAAAAGCAAATTTTAACATATTAATGGTGGGTTTTGGTCATTGATTCTCTCAAAAACTTGAGCACACAACGCAAGATTACAGTATTCAAGAACGATGATTGGGTGGCATGCACGTACTGCGCTCAAACTAAAGACATGTGGGTCATATTGTTTTGGGCGAGAGAGATACTCAGGTACTGTGTCATGTCCTTAAAGTCCAACTATCAACCCGTGACTTTCATAAATATAGTGTCCCATTTCGCTTTCCATTCTTGGGATTAATACTCGACGTAAAGGAGGTTCAAGTCTTAAAGATTCATTCATCACCGTTGCGATTTTCTTAATTTGTCCACGTCGAATGATGTTGGCAATTGCAATTGTCGTAAAGCATGTGTGTTTTTGTGCCTCAAACGGTCATTTGGAGTGGTGTGTGCATGACACATGAACATGAACATGAACTTGAACATGATGGTCCCGGCATGATGAATAGTATTACTATAAAACCTAGCTAAAGAAAGTGATGAACAAACCTTTTTATGGGCCCGACAACGTGGCCCCCACCTTACAATTTTTTCGAACGTTGGAAGTTGGAAAACGAACCACCGTCTAGTGTATAAGTAGTGTGTTGCCAAATGGATCGATGCCCATCGTGTTGTGTGGTAATTAATATACAATATTCTTAATTTAAAAGTGAAATGGGGACAGCACAAGTCAATGACATTCCACAATAATCATGTTAATAATGGCAAAATACATAGTTAAATGATTGCAGTTTCATCATTTCATATGGCAAACAGTCCCGAATATAGTAGTGGCTTTTGGCTGTTAACAACAACCAATGTTCTTAAACTATAACCAAGACTTTTGGTAGTAACATTCTAAAAAGAAATATTGACAGCTTTGGAATTTACAACATGCATTCTAGATTATCGAGATTTTATATGGATTTAGATAAATATATGCATTTAATCTAATTAATCGTAAACTGTATATCGTAAAATCACTACAACAATATTCAAACATATACGATTATGTGATTTTTTATTCTCTTCAACCAAGTGACTTTAATTAGTTTCTTAATAATATGAGTAATATTTCTCTTCCTAATGAGAAGAGGAAAAAATATTTGTAATATTTGAAATGTGTATTAAGAACTATAATCAATTAGTTTTCTATATTCTTATTACCTAGCTAACAATCTTATAATATCTCTTGATGAGCTATTATATGATATTTACTCGTTAAACCACATTTCAATTTTTAAACTTTATTAGCTAACCAAATTAAATAACTTAAAATTATGCACATTAAATTAAATAATAAATGGTTAATATTATTATATTCAATATATGATATGGTAAGAATAAGAAACGCGGGTTTCCATATTTTCGAAAATTGTTTTCCTTTGCAACTGTGTTTCAGTCTTACTGCTTTTGTAGGATTATGTGAGCCTAAAATTAAGATGGTGAAATGGAGTTTATTAAGTTCAGACCATATACAATAACAGTACCACAAGACCATTTTACGACTATCTACACCGGAGGGACTTGATTAAAAGGTAAGGTATAGAATTTCTTGATTTACACCAAGAATCAAATCAACTTATTACGAATATAAATACTTTATTATAAGTATGATTATTGATGAGCCTATCATATAAATGTAGATCCAATTATATTAGTATAAATAGAATGTATAAGAGAGAGAGAAGGGATTTTTTTCTCACATTTTTATAACATTAATTATGTTAACTTGTATAAAATTGATGAGTGATTTGAATGTTGAAATGTCTTTTATAAATGTTATTCTTTTTTCTTCTTAGACAAATATGATCGAAGATTATTTCATTTATTATCAAAGGTGAATATATTATATATGTTGAATCCTTTGGATAAGTACAACCAAAGATCAAGAAAATGCCAAAAAAAAAATGACAACTATTAAGATGAGGACTTATAAGATGATTAAAGTGATGAAATTATCCATATGATCTCATGTAGGTACAATCTGAAAATATTTTGAAGAAGATTAATAATACAATTAAATATATTAATTTGATGAGAATTATTTGAACTGTGATGAATAATGACAAGTCCAAGAAAAATGTTATTAGTTTAAAATGCTTGTGAATTTACATCCAATTTATTGTAATCCAATTTATTGTAGTAGAGATAGAATTAATTAACATTTCTCAAAGTGACAACAAGTATATTTAATTTTAAGAATGTTGTAACAATTACAAATAAAATATTTATGAGTCAATAATGTGCACTCACAACGTAATTTTTTTTAACAATCATTTAGTCACAATTCACATGTACGGTAAAATATTGAATTTTATAATAATAATTATGTTAAAATCTATATGAATATTGATTTTCAATTGGTTGGTATAAATTATTTTACATTGACAATACAGAAACATCGAAATTAAATTGTATTTATATTTATATAATATGAAAATATTTAAATAATAATTTATTATGTTTATATATATATCATGATAATTGCTTACTTTCTGTTGACTCGCGAATTACAAAAAAAATCCTACCACAATTTTTAAACCCAATATTGAGTTATTTTCTGAAAGCATTGTGGAAACGTATATTCACATGAATATGCTACCCCAACTTTTTCATTATAAATATAAAAAAAATGTAATATGCTGTAAAAGCACAATAAAAACAACGAATATATATTCTCTAACTTTTTTAAATATAGCATCTAAATAATTAGTTTTTTTTTTCTGTTTTCTAAAAATGTGTTATTTTTAAGTTTTAATTCATATAATTTTTTTTTATTCTTTCTAAAGTCTTTGTATCCAACGAAATTAACGTGACTTTAGTCTTTCATTATGAACTCTTTTATTTCGGTAGGGTAGTCTTTCATTATCACTACAAAGAATTAGTTAATTAATGGCGGTTTTTTTTTTGCGGTTTCAATAAACCGCCAAAAAATGTTATAATTCTAGCGGTTATTCTAACCGCCACAAAACTGTCATAATATTCACATGAACAACTTAATTAAATTATATTGTTATTCTTATTAAAAAAATTAAAAGAATAAAAATAAAGAGTTAGAAGAACTTAAAATCAAAAAAGAAAAAAAAAAGCATGCTCGGCTTCGCTTCACGCCCAAACTTCTTCTGCTTCCGTCAATCGCTCAACATAACGGGAGCTAATTTGCGATAAAACCATTTCGCAAACTGTCCAATTTAGGGTTAGTGATTTCGCAAGACTTTCTTTAAATTTTCTCTTCTCTACATTGTTTTTCGATCGATTGCTTCCATTTAAGGTGAGTTTTCGATTCATATCTATTTTGATCCCCTATTTTTGCTATGTATAATATTTCATTCTTGGGGAGCCACCAAAAACCCCATGCTGCTCTCTCATTCAGGGTCTTGTTGATCTTGAAGCTGCAGTGTGCCTTTGCACCGCTCTCAAAGCTAATGTGTTAGGCATCAACCTCGATGTGCCCGTCAAGTTGAACCTGTTACTCAACGTCTGTGGAAAGAAGACTCCTGAAGATTTCATCTGCGCTTAATTCTGCACTTCATATAACTACTTTATCATGTCTTAAGCTTCTTCTATATTTCGCTATATTCGTTATTCATATCATTATTATGTGTACTTTGGTATTCTGTCTGCATCGACTTAATACATGTATTAAGAATTTTTAATTTAATAATTTGATCATTAAAATTTGATATAAAATATGAGTTATTGAGTGAAATAAATTTAGTTAAACTTTCTTTTAGAATAAGTGAATGTCTCCTCATTAAAAAAAATTAAAATTTGCATTCTTAAAAAATTGATGAATTAAAAACTTATTTAACCCTTTAAAAAAACAAACTCATTTGGTCAAACTTTATCTGCGGCAAGGGCAAAATTTTATAACCATGGATCGTAAAATCTTCAATCAGTTCACATAATAAACCCTAGGATCAAATTTTCTAAATAGTTTTTTTTTTAATAAGAGTTTAATAGTTTGATAGATATTTGTGTAAAACTAATAAAAAGCAATTGTTTCTGGTATGAATTCTACGAAGTTATTACCCAAGTCTATAAACTTAAAATATATTTGTAATTGAATAATAATATAAAAGATTTTCTATAATGTATATTTATGGAGTATACAATTATTTTGGCCACTAAATTTGGAAGAGAATGTTATATTAGTTTTTAAAACTAAAAAAAAAATGTTAAATAAGTATTTAAAAATTTAAATTGACAATTATATTAATCTAAACTTAAAAAATATGATTAAATCGTAATATTAACATATATTTAGAAATTAAAATAACATTAAGTAATTAAGTTTAAAAAT